ACGGGGTTCCCCGTAATACTATAATGACAATAAAAAAGGCCTTAAAGGCCGTCCTGTCCAGATTTGACAGGTAATTGAATTGGTTGGGCTTAAAAGAATTAGCCTTCAAAAAAAAAAAAAAAAAAAAAAAAAACTAGTGTCTTCACCCTAATAGGAAACACCCGTTCATGACTGCCGCAATTATTAGACTGAGACTTGCCTAATATACAGATATAAAGACCTGGCGTTCTATTCGGGTGATCACGGTAGCCTATCCTTTCGGACGACAGGAGCCCTATAGGTGCTGATTCACTTGCTGCGAGCACAACAGTTAAACCACAAGTACACGGCCCCAGCCTTGCAGTCCGAAACTTGTCTCCACAAGAAAATGAGCGAGGCTGAAACGTCAAACGCTGGGCCCGCCGTTGATGATTTCGATTGGTGGCCCCGTTTTCGTTTCGCGCCTCCAGAATTTGAGGTGTCAGACCCGCGGCCTAGGTGCCCATGTACTGGTGCTTTAAACCACCAGTAATACTTCCTAAAGTCGTGCCCGTTAATGCGCCACGATTTTAGGAAACGTACGGGCCACTACAGGAGCGCCCAAATTCATCCGACTAGAAATGTTTCTACTTTATTTTTTTTTCCACGGCCGATAGCTGGGCCAAGTACTGGTGGTTTACGCCTCCAGTACATGGCCCCAGCCAACTTGAGGATCCATATCGAGTCACTCCCACAATTTCCGAGTGAGCTCAGCGCATCCGGCCCAAACTGGCTGGCGACTGCAGCAGCCAAAACAAAAAAAACAAAAATGCAGCACTGGCGTTTCAGCAAAGCTTTTCGGCTTTTCGCTCAGGGGGAATCAACCTCGTACAAAAGACGCCCCGGTGTACTGGTGATTTAAATCGCCAGAAAACACAGCCCCAGCCTTGTGGAGAAATCTTTCATTGCCTTCAAAAATTGAAGAGGCTCGGGGCTAAGCGACCACAATGGCAATGGCTGTCGGGACCAGGCCAACAAAAAGGAAAAGAGTGTGCCGCTGGCGGTTCGGCAAAGCTTGGCTTGGCGCGCAGTGGAAGGCCGCCAGGCCCGCATGTACTGGTGGTTTAAGCCACCCTATCAATACCTGTATGGCCCGCTCACAACATCCGATCACCACAATTGCTGAGCCAACCATTTTTTTACCGTGGGCTCGCCTCATACCACAGGGGCTGGCGAGTTACAGAGACGATCAGGATGGGCCTCACCTCGGCACTCAGCAAATGTGTAAAAAGTGAGAATGAAACTTCGGGTAGAACGGTGGAAAGACACAACCACCATATTTCATTCTTTTGGAACTGTTTTCACATTTTGGTGAGCGGTGGGTGGGTCGTGGCCTCATAAGCAGCCCGGATGTATAATGCATGTATATATTGTCACATAAGTATGAACTAAAAGAGCGCAATTTGCAAAACAAACGACAAAAATAAAAAATAAAAAAAACAAGACAAACATGAAGGGCACAGTGAAACCATTCATTTTTCTCATTCTTCTTTTGACTCCCCTTTCACCGTGCCTCTAACGTACAAGGCTCGCCACGTTGATGAAGTTGAGCGCCAGCTGCCCCCATCCCCGTGTGCCATAACAGCCCACTTGTACGCTGTGAGAAAGGGGCAGAGTGAAGGGGGAGGGGATACACACAGGGAGGAGAGATGGAGAGCAGACAAACAAAGCACGGTAGAAGGAAAGTAAGGGAACGTATGGAGTGTGGAGTGAAGATGAAGGCAAAAGAGGATAAGAAAAGGCTCAAGAATGAGTCTGTCCTTGACGACAGAGAGGACATACATTGTAAGGATGAGATGGATGAACACATGGAAGACCTAGCTGAGCATTCTCAGTGCAACAAATGCCACGACGGGTAGCATGCCCACCATACACCCCTGACAAATGGCATGTCGATTGCAGGCCAAAATGAAAGAAGAACGGTCACCACAAAAGAGCATGCATTCAGTATAGCGCCATATATATATATCTATATATATATATATATATATTTGACGATATATATATATATATATATATATTTTTTTTTTTTTTCCGGTCAGGTCGAGCGGCAGTGGTCTAGGCGGCCATGCTGTGCCTCTAGTGCCAGCGGCGTGTCTGGAGTGTATTTTTTGGCTGTGACAAACCTTTCTTTGTTTCGTGGATGTTTTGCTGGCTTGTGATGGGGTGTGAACCGACAGTCTGTAGAGTTTTCCATCTGGT